CTGAGGCATGAGAATTTCTTGAACCCAGGAGGCAGAGGTTGCAGTAAGCTGAGATCATGCCACTGCATTCCAGCCTGGATTATAGAGCGAGATCCTGTCTCAAAAAAATAAAGTGGAAAATGCTTACGGCATTCAACAGTGTCACAATATTAAGCCAAGCACATTTGCTAAGGTCTTAGTTTTTTCAAGTATAAAAAGAAATTGTTTCAGCTATTAATTGAAAACAAACAAAAAAACTGGCCATTTGCTCTCACAGATTTTAGCTCCCTAGCTAATTCAGGTTTCCCAGAAGTGATTATTTGTATCCAAATGAAATGAATACGCTCCTGGGTAGGTGGGGGAATTCATGTATTTATATATTTAGGACTTGTTATGTATCTTTTTGTAGCTGATTTATGTGTGACCTAGCATTTGTTAGAGGTGGGGTGGGCCCCTCTGAGATTCCCTTTACCCACAGTAAAGGATTCTGTTCTAGCCACACTAAAATTAACAGCTGGGCTTCTCGGTGAAGAGGACACTCCCCTGCTGCTCCCCAGAGGACTGCTTCCCTAGTGACCTAGAAGCAACTTCCCCCAGCCAACCCCTACACATGCTAGAACTCAAACAATGCCACCTTGAGCAGCCCTGCCTTGGGCATAACCACAGTCACCCAGCATGGCTCCAGATGCTTCTTGGGCCACTTGGCTTGGGCCCTGCCATGCCGCAGTGACCTCACAGTGGTGCACTGGTGTCAGCCTTCTGATCAGCCTTCTTGGACTCTAGCTAGAAGACTTTCCCGGCTTTGACTTCCTCAATTTTTTTAAACTGAGTAATTAAGAGAAACAAAACAAAGAATTCATAGACAGTTAATTCCCAAGAAGCATGCAACTGTCTGTGAGATGACACTCCTATGTGAGCAAGTGATTCTCGCCCAAGGTGGAATTTTAGAAAAAGGCCCTTCTAACTTGTATTGTGTGTTGCTTTATTGTCTGCTGGTTTTGAATACAGATTGGAAATGTCGGAAAAGACTTCAACAATCTTAGCCTACTGATTGTATAGGAGCAGAAACGACCAGCTCACTCTGCTAATTAGCCTGAAAGCAAAGGTGTTATTACTGAGAAGTAATGCTCCGTGGGTCTCTCATGTGTTGCTCATCTTTGAGGGAGGCACTAACTTGTTCTGACCCATCTTTTCAAGGAAGTTGTCGAGCAAATGACCTTGGAAGTGGAGAAGATAATGTCTCTCTCCAGATCAAGAGGCAGATTTGCTTATTATCCAGTATGATAAAGATAAGGTCTCCCTTCAGGATGAAGGGATGGCTTGCTTAGCACTACTTATAGAAGACTTGAGTTTCCTAAGCTCAGAGTCCTCAGCTGTGGTGCAAAACCACTGCACCTGCAGAATCTGACTTAGCGCCTGGTTCCACCCTGAGAGAGATGGGTGGAGGGGAACTGGTGTAATATGATGCTCATGCTTCTCTCCGCGTGCTCTCACTTCTGCATTCCTTTGTCTCTGATCCAGGAGTCTCTTGTCTTCTGTCAGCATTCTTGATACCACGGCAAACGAGCTTGCTAACTTGCAAGCTGGGTAAAATCTCAGATTCTTCACAATTCTTGCCAGTTACTCTAGTGCTATACAAAAAACGTTCTTTCATAAAAATTGGTGGAGAAAGCACTGGAATGTACTGATGAGGCATACATATTTAATATAGGGTTGACAATGTGCATTTGAGTTTTATCACACTGTATGAATTACTAGAATTTTTCAACTATCTGTAACTTCTTATACCATTATCTATAAACACCAACCCCCAATAAAAAGGCTTTTATCTGGCTGAATTTTATCTGGTGTTAGAACAATTTGTGATTTGTTAGCTGAATGTCTACTGCAGCTTTCTGTAAGCTAAGAAAAAAACATAAATGCTTTCTATCTATTTATCTGTATATGAAATACCTTCTCAATAGTCCTGCGAACTCAGCTATTCTGGAGGAATTACTTTGTTATGAATGAGGATTTTTTTCATGTCTGCAAAAAACAGTCGTAGCTAGCTCAGTGTATTTCATAAAGGTCAGTCATGTCCTTCGGACTTTTTGTTTTGGTGGTCAGACATTGTTTTAAATTTCTTTCTCAATACCCTTGAGCTGGCCATTGAAGGATTTGTTGCATTTCAAAAGATTGAGTAAAAATAGGATCCTGTGTTCAGGAAAAAAAATAAACAAAAAAATCAGCCAGCATGATTTCCATGGTGCTGTGGGGAAGGTCCTGGACTCAGGCACAGGACTCCGCAGGCGCACCTGAACCTGGGCCCATCACGCACACTGGACATCCCGTCCACCCCAGCCAGACACACACACACACACACACACTCTCTCTCTCTCTCAATCTCTCTCTCTCTCTCACACACACACACACACACACACACACACACACACGCACGCACACAGGCCTCCATAGGCTGAAGACTCTAGGTGTGAGGGCCGGCTGATAGTCCATTGCCCCAGATAGGATAGCTTTAGTTAACTAAGTTATGTCACCTGGGATTGCTGAGACTTGTAGTGAAGAATAGCCTGGGTTCCAAATCCCTGGCTTTAGGATACTTCTCTTACAGGCTCACATCTGTAATCCCAGCACTTTGGGAGGCCAAAGCAGGTAGATCACCTGAGGTTAGGAGTTCAAGACTAGCCTAGCCAACATGGTGAAACTCCATCTCTACAAAGATACAAAAATTAGCCTGGCATGATGGCGGGTGCCTGTGATCCCAGCTACTTGGGAGGCCTTGGAGGCAGAGATTGCAGTGAGCCAAGATCACGCCAGTGCATTCTGGCCTAGGCGACAAAGTGACACACTCCAGATTTTTGAAAGTCACATATTTTACCTATGATGTAGCATTGTTTTCAGACATGGTAAGCAACCTGCTATGGCGGGGGTCTTGTGAGACAGTAGCTAGAGTTTACTTGCTTTGCCTCTGATGCTGGTGGAAGCTCAAGGTTTCTCACAGTGTGGCGCCCGGAGCAGGAGGAACGCCATCACGTGGAAAGTTGTTGGAAATGCGTATCTTAATGCCATCCCAGAATTTACAAAATCCCGGGGTGGGTTTGGCGATCTCTGGTTTAACAAGCCCCTGTCCTCTTGCACCAAGTGATTCTGATGCACGCTACACTTTCAGACCAACAGGTGCTGCTCAGGGTCTCACATGTCAGAGGAGAATGAGGTTAGTTAAATTATAAATAGGAAAAGAAGAAATTAAATGTTGCCGTAAAATGTATAAGGGGATAACATACAGCATTTATTAAAGAAATGATAAATAGCATTGATTACATCCATTGTTTATCACTGAAGAAGTATATGTCATGCCTATCCTACGTCAGTCACTGTTAGGATACAAATATGAAGAAAGCATGTTACAGATGTCTCATCGTGGACCACTGTGGCCTGCAGGGAAAATCTACTTTGCCACATATTTTTGTAAATAAAGTTTTGTTAGAACACTGCCATACCCATTCATTTGCATATTGCTTATGGCTGCTTTTAGGCTACGAGACCAAGTTGAGAAGTGTGACCAGGACTGTATAACCTACAGAACCAAAGCACTTCATCTTTAATCTCTTGCACTTTACATCAAAGTTTGTCAATACTAGGTCAAGTGTTTTCAGGGAAAATCTTTTCCACGTTTCAGGTAGTTAAACACAAATGGAGTTAGGAGCAAGTCTGGAATGCAGGGGTTATTCTGTCATCCAGTAATATATTTGTATATTCTTTTTTCAGTAGCAGAAAATTTAGCCTGACAGACATTAGTATCATGGAAGGCATACAGAAACAGAGCAATTACTGGTCAGACGCCTTGGTGTGTGAATGAACCAAAGGAGAATGAGAACAAATATAGAAGTCAGAAAAGGAAAAAATGAGGAATAAAAAAAAAATGTGGTTGGAAAGGGAGAATATTAACAATCAAAAGACTGTGATGAATATGAAAAGCTAAAATGAGGGAGTGTGTGGCAGGACCTGGCTGGAGAAAGGAACTAAGAAGCCATGGGATACTGGATGGGAACATTCCAGCTGCCTGGCACAGAGGGTGGGCATCAGAGTCTTCCTGGGAATGCTGGGGTGTTGATACCAGGCAGAAAAGGGGCAGACTCCAGATGGGGCTGGGAGAGCCATGCTCTGCTGCACTTCTTTTTGTTGACACAGTCTCACTCTGTCACTCAGGCTGGAGTGCAGTGGGTGATCTCAGCTCACTGCAACCCCAAGAGATGTGCCTGCCTCAGCCTCCCTAGTAGCTGGGATTATAGTCATTATACTTGTGTGTCACCACACCCAGCTAATGTTTGTATTTGTAGTAGACACGGAGTTTCACCACGTTGGTCAGGCTGGGCTCGGACTCCTGACCTCAAGTGATCCACCCATCTCGGCCTCTGAGAGTGCTGGGATTACAGGTGTGAGCCATCATGCCCAGCCTCTGCTGCACTTCTGTGTCTACCAGGAGTCCATGTGTACTTGTGTGGCTGTTTACAGTAGGGCTATCTCCATTCCTTACTCTGCTAAATGACTAACCTGTGGTGATACTGGAGAAAAAGCTCTGGATTTCCCCATGGGGAGCTCGAGTTACCTCTTGCCTTCACCTCTCACTGTTTGACCGTGGAAATGTCATTTCATTGCTCTGTGTCTCCCTTTCCTCCTAGTGAGAGGCTTCCTCCCACCTCCATGTTTTGTGATTCTTCTAGACTCACTCATTAGCGAGGGGGCATCACGAAAGGAAGGTCACAGCGTATCCCCAGCTCCCTCGCTTAAAGAGCAGAAGAAGGAATAATTAGCAGAGGCTCGGGCCCTTCTGAAAGGGAATCCTTGACCACTGTGGCACACGGCATCCTTTCCTGGGAAAGGTTTCAGGCTGATTTATTTCCGACTCACACATCATAACCGATTTCTTTTCTTGCCCAAAGAGATTGTTTACTGTTGAAACGTTTCAAGGAGAAATGAGCAGCTGGGCTCCACGTGTGTGATCATACTTATCTTTCTTTCAGGAATTTTTCTTTAAATGTGGAGCACACCCAACCTCCGACAAGGAAACATCAATAGCTTTGCACCTGATCGCCACCAACAGTCGTAACATTACTTGCATTACGTGCACAGATGTCAGGTAAGGATCTGAGAAAAGCGTCTCTCCTTCGCTCCTTACTTTCCCCATCCCGTTCTGCCACACAAGCCTTCCTCCGTGAACTCTTTCCTGGGGAGTGTCTGCTTTCTTTTGATGTTTCCGCCCAATGTGGATATGTTTTCATGTGATGAAATCATTTAAAATGCCAATGACTTAGTTTAACTAGGTATAGAGGGTTCTAAGATGTGAGATGGCATATCCATAGTGTAATCTTAGTTGATATTAAAATTAAGCTCACATATTTGAGTGTAAAATGTAAACATATCCATTAAGTTCCAAAATAACATTAAAATATGATGCTACCATTAGGAATGTTCACATAAGGCGCGCACCACCATGCCTGGCTAATGATCTGTAATTTTAACAGACACGGGGTTTCCCCATGTTGGCCAGGCTGGTATTGAACTCCTGACATCAGGTGATCTGTCCACCTCAGCCCAAAGTGCTGGGATTATAGGTGTGAGTCACTGGGCCCAGCCAGGAATGGAAAAACAATTTATGAACACCACGATATATAGCCCATACATTTTATTTTTAAAATGTCTTTTCCATACATTTCAGTTCTCCATATTTGCCTGTATTTATGCTGAGGCTTTGCACACATTCATATCCTCAAAATGAAAGCATGTAGCTAGTTTTGGACCTTGTTATTTCTAATCTCAGTGAATACAAGAAAAGCAAATGTGGAGATGGTCTGTTAGGATAAAAACGGAAAATGACTGGATGTGAATTGCAGCGTAGGAGCCAAGGGCAAAGTGGAGGAAACAGTCTGTTTTCTCTGCAGAGCAGGCAGTTCAGAGTAGAATTCCTTACTCCACACTTTGCAGATGGACAGAGGAAAAGAAATTAGTTTCATTATATGTTCTTTGAGGTTGGCCAAGAAGCTCAAATTGCAAAAGTTCTAATATCAGGAAGATCTTTTTAGTGAAGTGCCAAAATGAATTAATAAAGTCAGAGCCTATTGTTTCAGACAGTTAAGCAAAAATAGTCATATACCCTAATCATTTTACGTGTTGTCTCTCTTTGGCCTTTGGAACTGCATTAGATGGTCTTTTAAAGTTGCTTTAAAACTCTGCGATTTCATGATAAGCAAATATTCACACTCCTATCAGGCTGTGTCTATTCTCTAATAAGTTGAAATTAAAATATTGATTAACAGAAGCCCAAAAACGTTAACAACATCTGTTGAACAAACCTGTCTCCAAGAAGGAATGAAAATGAGATGAGATTTTCCCTTCGCTGCGTGTTTAGTCACTTCTATGGCAGGAAACCACAATATTGCCTTTAAAAGGCAGCGCTTCAGCCGCTCTGGCGAGGTGAGTGACTGCGCGTGGCTAATGCTTTCAACATGCAGGAAGAGCAGCTAAGATGAGGATTCTGGTGTTTCAGGAAAGGAATCAGAAGGTGCTAAAAGTGAGGGCTTGACTGCTCTGATAGCAGTAGGTAATTGAAGTCACTTTTCAGTTTTTCAAAGGAAAAATTCAGAATACTTTTCTGTTAAGTCAGAAAGCATCTCGTCAGCCAGTATTTTAAACTTTCCATTAAGGTTGGTAAAGATGACATTAAGGTATGTGGTAATGTTGGTGTTATCTTACAAACAGCACGGCCCTCCCCGTTTCCCACTGTTACATTCATGTTAGTAACTGGCAATATCTTTTGAAGAAAACGAGCCACCTCTCAGATGCACAGGGCAAGAACTGCTGGAAAAATACTATTGTCGCAATAAATTTTTTCATATGATTACTTTTGGGAGAATTTATAAATAGAAGTGACTATATCCAGATGCATCTTAAGGGTGTGTGTGTGTAACCAATCACTTGATTGAATAAGGCCCCTTCTCGTATAAGGCAGTAGAGGAGTGTCCCATCTGTAGGAACGAGAGACAAACTCCTTCCAACTTTGAGGTTCCCATGTGTAAGGACACGATGAGCGCAGTTTGGTGATCATTTCAGGGTTTTCCTGAAAATCCTTCTTTTTAAATTTAGAAATCATTCACAATAAACTATAAAAAGTGTTAGAAGTTATTTTTACCCTAATGCTCAGTAAAATTTTGTTTTTTCCCCAATATCTTGATTGTGCCTACATATTTGCAGTATATATGTGTGCTATATAATTATATTATATGTATAGTTTTGTATCTTGCTTTTTCCGTTTAGCATGACATTATGATAAATTTTTTCCTCTGCACTTCTCTTTAAAATGGCACGCTCAGCCGGGCACAGTGGCTCGCACTTGGAACCCCAGCACTTTGGGAGGCTGAGGTAGGCAGATCACTTGAGCTCAGGAGTTTTAGACCAGCCTGGGAAACATGGCCAGACCCTGTCTCTACAAAAAATATAAAAATTAGCCAGGCGTGGTGGCATGCACCTGTAGTCCCAGCTGCACAGGGGGCTGAGGCAAGCGGATGGCTTGAGCCTGGGAGGTCAAGGCTGCATTGAGCTGTTTATGCCACTGCACTCCAGCCTGGGTGACAAAGTGAAACCCTGTCTCAAAAAAATAAAAAATGAAAATAATAATAAATTTTCTTTGCCATGAAAACAGTTTTTTCAAATAGGTACCTGGAATTCTGTCACGTGGGAATATGCTGTTTATGAAGTTTTTCTTTAGTATATCCAAAAACAGGGTCCTTGTCACACAAACATGAAAAATTAGGCCCACAGACTCTTTTGAGGGTGAGAAAAATGTGACTTGTTGGGCAAAAGGAAAAGAAAAAGGGTAACAGGTACTCTCAGCAAAGCAAGAATCCCAGGTACTACCCCGATCAGGGGAAGCCAGGCTCCTCCCTGGCGCAAACAGCGTGAACTTCCCAAGGCTCCATCCCTTTCTCCCAGTGCACAGGCCAGTCAGTTTCTCCAGATACCCCTTTATACCTGGCTGTCTCAGTTCTATTTAACCATTTTCCCACTGTTGAGCATTTAGAATACATATAGTTTTTTAAAAAACAAGACTGAAAATCATACTATTTTAAAGACATCATGGACTTCATGCCTTGACTTTTTTTTTTATTATTGCATTTTAGGTTTTGGGGTACATGTGCAGAACATGCAAGATAGTTGCATAGGTACACACGTGGCAGTATGATTTGCTGTCCTCCTCCCCTTCACCAACATCTGGCATTTCTGCCCATGCTATCCCTCCCCAGCTCCCCCCCACACTGTCCCTCCCCTATCCCCCCAATAGACCCCAGTGTGTAGTGCTCCTCTCCCTGTGTCCATGTGTTCTCATTGTTCATCACCCACCTATGAGTGAGAATATGCAGTATTTCATTTTCTGTTCTTGTGTCAGTTTGCTGAGAATGATGTTCTCCAGATCCATCCATGTCCCTACAAAGGACACGAATTCATCGTTTTTGATGGCTGCATAATATTCCATGGTGTATATGTGAGAACACAGTTGTAACAGTGGTTGTATAGGTCCATGGTAATGGACATTTTTGAGGTTCTTAATGGGTATTATCACGTTCCTTTCCAGCAGCACTGCTCCAGTTCTGATCTTGCTTCCCATGTCTGAGAGGTCTCCTATTTCTCTTTCAGCATTGTGTATGCTCATGATTTTTGTCTTTGCCTATTTGATAAAGGAGATTTTTAAAATTGTTTTAAGTTGTTATTTATGAACTCAAGAATTTCTCATTTGCTTATTTGCATTTTTTATTGTGATAGAACAATGCAAATCTTCTCAGTACAAAAGCTATACAAAAAGTCTACAAAACAGATCTGGTCTCGCAATTGCTTCCTCATTCACCATTCATAATATCAGGGTGTCCTTTATAAATACAGTATATTGGCTTTTGAATTTATGTTTAAATATGTTGCTTTGGTTTTATTTAAAAGTATCATATTTTCCTGGAGATGAATCAAATTCATAATTAATTACAGACTTAAAAATAAAAGGGTTTTTAAAATCTATTATTTTATAATTGTTTTTCTTATTTATATATATGTGTATTAATCATACACCATTAATCAAATTAGACATAATTACATAATAGATGAAAATCATAGAATAGTATTAATTTATCTGTAAATATATTTTCTGTGTACTTATATTGGGAAATAAAAATAGTATTCTAAGCCTCCAGCTGACTGAATAAACTCCTTCCTGGTCAAGGGGACCATGGAGACACCTTGGAAGCTGAGTCCCAGCCATGATGGGGTAGGATGTCAGACAGGCCTGTCATGCCCCCTCCCTCTCTAACCACCTCTAGACTTTCTTCCCTAAGGGCTAAACAGAAACCAGGTTCTCCAAAAGACTCCACACTGAGGCTGGGCATGGCTCATGCCAGTATTCCCTGCACTTTGGGAGGCCAAGGTGGGTGGATCACTTGAGGCCAGGAGTGTGAGACCAGCCATGGCCAAGATGGGCAAATCCCATCTCTACTAATAATACAAAAAAAAAAAAAAAGGCTGGGCGTGGTGGCTCATGCCTGTAACCCCAGCACTTTGGGAGGCTGAGGCAGGCATTTCACTAGGTTAGGAGTTGGAGACAAGCCTGGCAAATATGGTGAAACCCTGTCTCTACTAAAAATAAAAAATTTAGCTGGGCATGGTGGTGTGCATCTGTCATCCCAGCTACTCAGGAGGCTGAGGCGGAAGAATTGCTTGAACCTGTGAGGTGGAGGTTGCAGTGAGCCAAGATTGTGCCACTGCAGTCCAACCTGGGTGACAGAGCAAGACTCTGTCTCAAAAAAAAAAAAAAAAAAATTTTCTGAGCATGGTGGTGCGCACCTGTATTCCCAGCTACTCAGGAGGCTGAGGCAGGAGAATCACTTGATCCTCGGAGGCAGAAGTTGTATTGAGACAGGATCGTGCAACTGCACTCCAGCCTGGGTGACAGAGTGAAACTGTCTCAAAAGAAAATCCCACATTATCCACACTGACAATGTCAATTACTGGCTTATATCTTCTTGGATACAGAACAAAGACAAGATGAGATAAATCAGTCCTTCACCCTCCCTGAGACAGCTGCCTGCTCTATTCTGATTT